TGTATATTTCCTATTTCGCACATTCTAAGGTTGGCAAATCATCTGTTCTCGAAGCATTGAGTGGAGTTCAATTGCCACGAGCACAAAATATTTGTACTCGATGTCCACTCGAGTTACGCATGAAAAATATTCCATTTAATCAAACGGAATATGCTACTATTCGATGTGAAGGTATACCTGAGATTAAAATCAACAAATTTTCGGAGATCATGAAGAGAATAACAGATTGTACGGTGCAACTAGCTGGTGCAACAAATAACGTTTCATCGAAGCCTATTTACTTAACTGTCTATAAGAAAGATATTCAAGCAGATTTAACACTTATTGATTTACCAGGTAATCTTTCACTGTTTGAGAAGATGAGTTCAGTATTAAATCATATTTTTCTCCGATTTTATAGGTATTACTCGTAATCCGATTGATGGCCAGTCAAAAACTATTTATAAAGATATAGTTGAACTTATTGAACACTATATTAAGCCACAAACAGCTATTGTCTTACATGTAATTCCTTCATCTGTGGATTTTACAACTTCAGAATCGATTCAACTTGCAAAAAAAAATGATCCACATTGTAAGAATGTATAACTATTTTTTTATTGTCAAAATCTGATCTATGTGAAAAGGTGAACGACAATTGATTGCTGTATCAAAAATTGATAAGTTTGACAAAGGTATTGGAGAAAAACTTCAAGGTATTGGGCCAGGATCAATGGCACTCAAACTTGGTTGTGTAGCCGTGCTTAATCGTACACAAGAAGAAATAGATCAAAATATTCCATTTGATGAAATGCGACGACGAGAACAACAATTTTTTCGTTCTAATGAAGCTTTTGAAGGTGTATCGGAGCAATATCTTGGTAGTGGACAATTGGTAAAACGACTTGCTTTAATTCAACAAGAACGTATTCGATCAACTCTTCCATCAATTATAGACGAGCTTAAAAAGGAAATCAAGTCAAAGAAATCTGAATTGAAACAAATGCCACCATCAGTTACTTCTGAACTAGATTGTTGGGCATTATATGCAGATTTAATTAAAAAATATCGTGAAATCATTAATGCACGTGTTTATGGAGTATATGATAATGACACGCAATTAAAAATTGAAACAACTGATTTGTCACGAACAGATGCTCGCACACAAATGTCTAATGATCGGTTCGATGAACGAATTGCCTTTCAACTATATAATCGACAAAAAGATTGTAGAGAAAAACTTCATAATTCTTTCACACATTTCTTTTCATCAGAGTATCAAAAACGCGTATTGGAACTACTTGAAGAAAATGCTGGTGTTGCTTTACCTAATTTTCCATCATTTAGCATCGTTGAACGTCTTTATCGTGCTGAACAAAACAAATTTCGAAAACCATGCGAAGATTTAATTGAATCGTATACTGAATATTGTAAAGTAGTGTTGATTAAAATATTAAATGAAGTTTTTGTGGAAGAAACAAGCTATAAATATCTAATAATACATAAATTAACAGATATCATTTTACGTGCTATCGATGAAAGTGAAGAACGATGCAGTTATGATATTAAAAAGATGCTTGAAACTGAACAACGTGTATTTACACTTAATCATTATTATATGGATGCAGTGAACAAAATCAAACAGAAATATCAAGAATATAATGCTAGTATTAAACTAAGTAAGTTTCATTTCTATAAATAAAATGTATGCATATCAACAGATCGTTTTTCTTTCTTAGATCAACCTACGAAAGTTCCTTCAACATTTATGATTAATGACTTTGTAATAGATGTGAGTGGTCTTTCAAATGAACAACAAGCAGCATTAGATGTTCAAATAGCTATGACAGCTTATTGTCGTGTAGTTGAAAAGCGTATTGTTGATCAGGTCTCTCAACTTTGCTATTATTGGCTTATCACTCGTTGTGCTCTTGTACTCGACTCCAAACTGAGTTCGGCATTTACATCGGCTGTCTTGTTTGAATGGATGCGTGAACCAATTGATCAACAACAAAAACGTGAGAATTTGAAGAGAAGTACACATGCTATGGAAAAAGCATTAGCTATGGGACAGAATGCATAATAAACAAGAAAAAAACATTAATATTTTTTTTTTATAGAACATTACTAACTTTAGATTCACTAATACAATAAATAATAGCAACATATTTTTATTTTATATATAATAAAATTTTCGACTTGTAAAAGTACGATCATAATCACCACAACCAGCTGTCACTTCTGACTCTGAGTTTCCTTTTTTTATTCGAAAGAACAATCACAAAGAACATCTAGATTATTTCGTTGTGACTCAATCGATCACCAATAAGAAAATTTCTATTACTTAAAATAAGTATTTACACGTGAACATGTTCTAAAATCAATATAATGAGTCTAAGAACAAATGAATAAAGTGAAAAAGGCTCAAGTAATGATAATCTTATTTTAGACAACAATTTCGAGGAGCTTTGAAAATCTGACCGAAGAAGTTCGGACTGAAAGAATTGAAGAAAATTATTGAACCGATCGGAAATTTGATTCAGTATCGGAATTTAAAATCGAGAGATTCATTCGAACTTTTCAAATAAATCTCTATTATCGATCTGTATGAAATTCAAGCTATATGTCACCTTTTTTATCAGCAGGACGATAAAATGTTTTTTTTCTATTTGTCTTTCTTATTTCCGTCACAATTTGACATCTAGCTTTCGTTGTGATTCTTATCCATTTTTATCAGAAGGCCTCTGTCAAACTGACTTAAAAAATATTTTTCCTTCTTAACACCCTACAGGATGGCATATATTCAGTTGTGATATGAGTCCCGTATCGTTTAGCAAAACCATCATGAATAAAACCAACAGATTCAAATCAATTCGACATTATTACTACAAATACCTTATGTATTGTCTATTTCGCCCAAACATCATTTGATGATTTATCACTCTGTAGTTTTCAATCGTTTGTTAGAACATTTTACATGTTTCCACGAAGAGTGTCACATGACAAACAAAAGTACAGACGAAAAATTCATCGAGCAACACATCCGAAATTGAAACAATTATCATTAGATAACACAAACAATACATAAAGATCGGCTGCGATTTAATAATCAATTCTACAGAATTTCAAAGACGAAAATATCCATGTTTCTTGTTCCTCAGTTTATGAGAACTAGAAAGGCCTAATAAAATGAAATGTGTCAATACAAAAGATCACAGAAAAATAATAACATACATTTGGTGTTAAAAGTGTAACCTATTCCAAAAAATTATTCTATTGACTTTTGATCTTTCCTACTTTGTGTTGGTCTGTTACGAGGAAGAGCATCATTGTTCTTTAAAGAAAATTTAACAGATATTTTGTAGGAGTTTCGTCAAAATCTAGATTTATGAGATACCTATCATATTTATTATACAGAAATAGTGATTGTCAGTGAAGACATCAGATATGCTCATGAAGTATTAGAAAAGAAGCCAGCACGATAAGTGGGCGACTATTTCATCTGTAAATGCACTTCGCAACAAGAATTAGATTGAAATACGAAATCGCTATTTTGTCTCAATTGAGTAGTGGAAATGAACCAATCGCGCGCGATGAGAAGATCGTGAGAGTCGTGCAAAAAGACCCACATCCATACAACCACAACCTCCATGAGTCGAAAACGATTACTCGATAGGATTTAGTTGTTGAGTGGTTCCATTTCGTTGACTGTCAACGGGCTCAGCATTGTAACAGAATGAACAAAAAATATATGCATTTCACATTTTTGACCGTTCATCATACGCATCGTATGCTTTTCGAAGTTTAGTTGGATAGATATTAGATCCGTTTTTCTTACATTCCTTCTCCCTGCTCGTTGTACTTTGCCTTGAATGAATCCAAAAAATATTTTAAAGAAAAAGAGACGCGAAAAGTGCGAACAGAACAGAATATGTGAAGGCATATGAAGTGTATGCCTGCAATAGTAAATATTCTCATATTAATTTCTATAGACAAGTTTATTTATCCATTTTGTAAAGCCTCAAAGCGTTTATTTGCTTAGTGTATATTCAATGACTATGATAGCAAAAAATCGTAATATTTTTCTTTTTCTAGTCTTAAAAAAGGCGCGCCTTATTTCCTGATAGTTGTTCATATACTAGACAAATTCAAATAATCCAAATGAAATTTATGTTTTATTGAAAAACGACACAGTCATTTTATGTAAGTCTAGCTGAATTCGAAGCAAAAAATTATTTTCTTATAGACTATGTTCTATTCAATATCTCACATATGTTAGACTCCGACTACTTGTGTAAAATATGAATTCTAGTTTGTCGATGTAGTCTTTTCAGTCGAAATCTTTTTGTTTATATTTTATGAAATAAAATCCACATGAAAATTTTCTAAACCATAGTTTAAAGCTTTTGATCAACATTTGTTGTACTAAGAAGAAATGAAAAGGATGTAGATCTAAGTGCTTCACTCACCCTCAGTATCTGGCCGAGCAAATTTCTTTTTTCACGTTTCTAATGATCAAGAAGTATGAAGGCAAAAACTTTCAACTAACAAATTCTTGATTGTTGTCAAAATCGTAGCTCTCAATTTTGAATTCACGCTTTCTCATACTACAACAAGGGTCTCGGTTTATGCTGAACATTTTGATTATAGGTAATAAAAAGTTAGTCAACCATTGAACTTTTAATTCGATGTATACTAAAGATTTTCTATCGCGAAATTCCGAACTCATTTTTCTGGACTGCATTTAAAACGATTATGAAGGACTCTCAACAGCATTAGTTTCAGTTAATGCTCTTATGATATAAACATAGGAATAGATTTTATTCTGCTGAGAACGTGATATAAACTACAGGTTGTATGCAACTATGAAATCTAAAAAAATGATATTTAGCATAAAAGCCAAATTGTGGTGCTTATTTTGTCTTCCTATCAATAGTATGAATCTTATACAAATTAAGAAACCATTCAGCTATACTAAATAGAGACTTCGAAAAGAAAAGCATCAATCTTTTCAATTTTTAAAAACATATCATGTCTTCATTGCAGAAAGCTAGTCAAAAGAAAGCCTAGATCTTGTTTAATATCAATTGATGACAGTTAATGGATCATAAGTTTTGAAAAGAATTCTTCCTTTATTCATATATTTGTCTATATATAGAACTTATCAAAATAAAATGCAAGTTGTTTTTATGAGAAACGTCAAAGTAATATAATCGGTTGTTTTACTAGTTAAATTAGAAATTCAAATCAACCGATCTGATAGAAAAATAATGGATCAGTTTCAGCCACTTTCACATCCTTAAGATTCTAAGAGAATATGAAAAAATCATGCAAAGAGCATGCCCAATAAATTGATATTTTTTTCGAACGTGATTTTACATATTGTTGTCAGATTATTAACACTTCAGAATTTCTCAATAACAAACTATTGGAAAATATCGCATAAAAATATTCACAAGCACTGTGTATAAAAATTACTAATAATAAAGCTATGGTCTTGGTCAACTTATCTCTTCGCTTCATACAAACTTCCAATTTTTTTCAAATAAAACTTAAGACTATTTCTAAATGTATTGGCGCTTTACCTATCATTTTTCCTGATCTACTCTTGAAAATCATTAACTTCGAATTGTCACATTTTAATAAAATCTTGTTTGTTTATAGATATCTATGGTTGGTTAAGTTGTCTGTCTTAAACAGAACAACAGTTCAAATAAAATCATGCGAATATATCGTGTTGTAGTCTGCGCATTTATTTTTACCATCATCATCCTATGGACAACCTCACAAATTATAAGTTATGCATGGCATAATCGTTCGCCAATGCGCTTGGTATATACGACTAATGTCACTCGGTATGCGAACGCAACGTGGGCTCGACGTCGTATTCCTCGAGTTATTCATCAAATTTGGCGTACACGCAATGTGCCTTTACGATGGAATGCTACATTTCAATCGGTACTTGCACAAAATGTTGGTGAATTCAAACATCATTTGTGGACAGACGAAGATATGCACATATTTGTCCGAAAACACGAGCCACAGTTCTATGAGAACACATATATTACTTATCCGTACGAAATTCAACGTGTAGATTCATTTCGTTATGTACTATTGTATCATGTGGGCGGCATCTACATTGATTTGGATGTCGGCTGTAATCGTTCGTTGAATGACTTATTAAATACATTGGAGGCACTCGATCCTGACTCTCCGTATCTCGCTGCATTACCTCGTGACAAATTTTCAATTGGTATTGAAACTGATTTTTTGATTAGTACGCCTGGTCATCCGTTCTTTAAACAGCTTATTTCTAGGCTGCACTTCTTCAATCACTATTTTATTTTACATTTTTGGACTGTACTAGTCAGTACCGGTCCCATCTATGTTGGGCTTCAAGAGCGTCTCTTCAGTTCCTCATTGCAGAAGGAGACTTTACGTATATTAGACTTCGAAGTCGTTCAGCCAATGTTTCTATGGAAAGTAATTGGTCAAGAGTGGGTTAGCAAAGATGTTTCAGTCCTATTCTTTATTAACGCCAACGCGAATCAAATTCTGTGGTACGGGAAAATATTAACTATCTCTATTGTTGTGATTGTTTTGATTAAACGGTACAGATCGAAACAATGAAGAGTTTTGATCAGATACATCTTCACGTTATTAAAGCTTTATTTGCATCTGAAATATCATAAACCTAGATCCGTAAATGATTTATAATCAGATAAAAAGTGCGAATAAAACATGTTGTATTGTGTGGCATTACTAAATACTCAACCTAATTTGTAAGAACAAGAACGATAAGCGATGAAACAAACTCCTTTCCCTAAAACATCTGTTTTTTTTTTCATGGGAATATATGGATTAGAATGGGTACGTGTGTGCACATGTTTGGATGTGAATGCTGGTAGAGTATGTGGGTGTATTATCCGTCATTAGATAAATCCAAGTCAGAATACGACGTGTGTATCGACTACTGCTGCGATATTCATATGACTGGTGACTATTTTGAGACTGCATTTTTCAAACATGAGACAGTTTAGACTAGTGAGAAAGAATTTTGAAGCTGTCATTTTTTCTCCTTTAATTTTCTGGTTTTTCGTATTGAAATAAAAAGTATATATAGAGCAGGGTTGTCAGATCAAAAACTCAAAATGCAGAAACTTTTTATTCAAAATCAGAAAACAATTAGATGTTTTTTTGGCGAAATCAGAAATAATTCAGAAAGAAGCATGTTTTTGCAAATTATTAGCTAATATGGTAATATGCTGGTAGGCAGTGCTTTACTAGTATTTTTTTTTCGAATTTACTTTATTTTCATAGATATCTCATTGTCAAGAAACACAATGTAATAAATATATTGCCGAGTTATTACGAAAGCATACGTTGCTAAGGAAATTGCGGTCTAGAAGTTCAGAAGTGGGAAGAAAATTGGAAGAGTGTGTGTAAGTGCGAGTGTGAATGTGAATGAACACGAGACATATACCCACACTCACCCTCAACGTGATAGGTTTCTGAAGTGCACTCTTTCTCATAAGGTCGATTTTTTTTAGGTGTCTTTTGACGTGGCAAAGTAAAGATACCAAACTGTGGTTGAAGAGTGGTATGGTTCTTATCTTTGCCTAGAATTGTTTTCTTTTTATTTTTTGTTATTCATTGTGACAATGACAGATCAAGAGAAGAATAATGTACGAATCGTCAAGGAATACATGGAGATTAGGTGTGTTTTTTTATCTTTTTCTGTACGTGTAGTTTTGTATTTTAGAAGATGTATCAACATACAATCAATTAATTTCATCTACATGACGAACAAAATGGTGACGATTATTTCGTCAGATGTTGCGTTTGAGAGACTCAAAAATCATAGACTCAATTTAAAAAATCGTCTTTGCTATGAAATAATATCGAAGTTCATTCTCAACTTTTGTTGAATGATTTTTATTCGAAATGTAGCATCTGAATTGATGCAATTATTTCATGAAACTGATCAAATCATTCGATGAAAGAGAATACTTTCTTTTGACAACATTGATTTCTTTAGCACCATACTTTGTAACTTTTCTTGTAGACTACTTGATATGTTTTTTTTCATGTAGCTACGATCCGAAACGGGCCACAGCTCAAAATGTTGTTCATCTTCTGGCTCCTGGAAACAGATTCATTGCTCCGACCACCTTTCCTGAGGTACACAATTGTGAAACATATACGGAAGAACATGGAAGTAAGTGTTCATTTTCAGTTACGATAAATTCCAGTATTTCTGCTTCACAGAATTGATGAAAAGTATCAGCAATTTACATATCATTGATTTCGACTACATCATGGCTAAAGATGATCATGTTTCGTTGAGATATTCGGCGGAGGGCAGTCATAGTGGGGAACCATACAAAGGTAAACACACACTCTTGTGCGAAATTGGTTTTAACTTGCATTTCGGTTCAGGTATTAAAGCTACCGGACGTAAGGCCAAATGGACCGCAGCTGGTTTATTCAAACTGGAACATGGCAAGATTACATTGTACGTGACATTCCTAAGAAATAAAGTTTCTGAAATACGTAGAGAGTATACATCGATAATCTCCGTGAGCATTTTAAACCTCTTGCCCTATACTTCCACACTTCGAAAATGAATTTCAAGGTCTGATCTTCAACGGAGACTTTCCATTCTTGTTCAACAGGATTTTCGATACTGAATATAGAAATAAATGATCATCATATTTAGATTCATCAAAGAATGGGACAAATTAGCTATGTGGAAGCAACTTGGATTTCCACTTGATGAAGCCACCGCAAATGAAACTAATATAAACGTGTCGCTGTCTGTTGCATCCTTACCATTGCTCAGTACATCTCTACCGACTATTCGGCACCATTTGCATGCTCAACCGGAACTGTCAGGTCAGGAAAAGTTAACAGCGGCACTCATTATCGGCTGGCTGCAAGAAGCTGGCGCAGAGCGTATCATCACTGGATTAGGTGGGCATGGAGTCGCTGGAGTATTTAGTGGACGTGATGCAGGACCGAGAGTGATGTTACGTGCTGAACTCGACGCTTTACCGATTAGTGAACTGGGAGAAGGGCGGGAATGGTGCTCAAGAAATAATCATGTCGCTCAGAGCATCATTCGTAATTAGCACGCAGACATGATGAGCATTCACTCAAATTCTCAAGTTTTTCTGTCCTCGTAATATTTCGAATGATTCTTTAGCTGTGGTCACGACGGACACATGGCGATACTTCTTGGTATCGCGAAACAACTTGCTCGTACACCTCCGACACGCGGCGAAGTGGTGTTACTCTTTCAACCGGCCGAGGAGACGGGGGATGGCGCTAAAGCTGTAATTGAAAGCGAAAAATTTGACGCATCATTACGTCCCGATGTTGCTTACGCACTACATAATCAACCTGGGCGGCCCTTTGGTGAAATATCAATACGGGAAGGAGCGTTTGCATGTGCATCGCGTGGCATGATTGTGCGGCTACACGGTCGTTGTTCTCATGCTGCTCACCCAGAGCAAGGGCTGAGTCCAATACATGCTATGTGTCACTTACTGGAAAAACTTGAGCAGTTGCCACAACGCTTGCCAGCATCTGAAGATCTTCGGCTGGTGACAACAGTACACGCCTGTCTTGGTGAGGTAGCGTTTGGCACAACACCAGGGGAGGCAGTGGTAATGGTCACATTACGAACAGCTACCGATGCGTTAATGTTATCACTAGTGGATGCTGCATGCGAATTAGTTGAACAAATAACTCAAAAGACAGGACTCACCTATGAAATTGAGTTCAGAGACGTATTTGCCGGCGTACTTAATGATCGACAAGCCACGGCAGACATTATCGATTGTGCCAAAAAACTTGGAAAAACGCTAACATTAATGGAAGCACCCAACCGTTGGTCTGAAGATTTCGGTGTTTATTCTGCTGTATGTCGTTGTGCTATGTTCATTTTGGGTGCAGGTGAAACAGCACATGTTCTGCATGATTCAGCCTATGACTTTCCCGATACACTTATCGAGCATGGAATAGAAATGTTCTGGACACTGTTGCAGAAACAATTATTGTTTGGTGATTGAGTTTGAACTTATTGATGTCAATGGTTAGAAACGATACGAATGTGACTCTTCTCACTAATATTTTATTTATCTTCTAATTTTTTCATATAATCAAATTTGCCGTCTGCTATTCATGTTTTATCTTCTGTTGCTCATAAAATTAGATGTTCCTATCTGTGTGTGTTGTTACTGTACTACTATAAATAACAGTATGTAAACACTATAGAAAAAGTAACAAAGCGAGTGAATAATGCAAATAGTACAATGCCCAAGTAACTAAACGACTAAGTAGTAACGGCATCAGAATTTAAAGAAAAACCATCATGACGACATAACACTGATACGATTGTGTGTGTATATGTTTGTTTATCTTTTCTGCTAATACACACACACCCATATAGAAGTAGATTATTCACAACATAGACTATCATTAACGAATTCTATCTCACAGAATCTGTATTTCAAATGCATTTATTCATGCTAAAAAATAAAAGTACATTATGATAAAAAAAGTCTTATCCATTTAGCAAAAATACATTGTACTCTACTATCACATTGATGTCTAGAGAATAAACTAGTATTCTCGCGACAACAATGATATTTAATTCCAAAATTGCACTCGTAAAAAGAGAAATTTTATTCATTTTTTTCACAAACACTACGAATACTTCTTTCCACTATACTTGCTGAGATGATTTCTGATTCGAATCAAAGAATATGCGATTAGCTCTTATTCGTTCTCTATGTTGACGGCTGAGAAAATGTAAAACAATCGCAATCATGACTTTGTTCGATTTTTTCCGAATCTTTCTCGAACTTTCCATCAGATATTTTTGATAATTATTTAAAGGTGTGTGAAGTGTTTGGGTCAGATGTTATGTGAAGAGTTTGGCTATGTTTGTGAATGTATAGAAAATTGGCAACCTTATTAACACACGTGGTACTGTATACACATTGTTTTCCCATCGGAAATACTGACGTGTACCTTCTGTCATTTAATAGACAATAAAATGGCATTTAAAATTGCCTGTTTCGCTAATTTTCATCTTATCTTGCGAAATTAAAGTTTTCCATTCAGTTCATCTGTCTAGGTTCTTGACCGTATGATCGAAAACATTCGATCTTGATATCTTTTTTTTTTGTTCTCAGCATATATCGTCAAATTTTTCTACGTTATTCTTTTATATGGGTTGTTGTAGACATGGGTGATAGTTAAGCATTGCCACATAGGAGTGTCGCATTAGAGTTAATTTATGCTTAGTTGTAAGCATTAATTTAGCCTTATTTTGAACTCTCATAGATGTTATTTGCAGGGGTTATGTGAATAGGCTACCTGTAAGTTTTGATGCGATACTTACAGATCATATCTGTAACTTTTCACTGAGAAAAAAGATACCATAAGCAATCCAAAACAGCTCCGATTTGCACAACCAACTCTGGTGACCGGACAATTCGTTGCAAGACAATTCGTCACAATGATATAATCCAATCATAATTTATATACTTTTTTTAACAATGAAGCGACTTATTCAATTAAGTTTGAAACATATAATCGAATGACTATAAAAATTATTGAAAATATTACTAATGCCTAAACTTCGATTTTTAATCTCGAGATGAGCCACTCAAAAGAATCCTACGAAGAAAAAAATTAAACCCGTTTGGTTCTTCATAATTAATGGCAATAGCATGTAAAAAATCCTTGATTACGAGGTCTCATCAAAACTATTTCTGGAATTGTATAAATCATCGATCAAAATTGACTAGTTTAGATTTAAATATATAAAGTAACAGATGATAGTTGCTAAAGTGGCAGAATTTTTACATTGCATGCGAATTCGCTAGTTCTTTCAAAGTAGTCTCATTATCAGAAGCCTTGAGCTGTAGTACAAATAAAAAAAGACGCAATGTTTTTCTCAGTGATATAGAAAAACTTTCCTCACTTGTATAGCTCAGATAAGTTAACTTTTTTATCCAAAAAAGAAGATTATCGTACTGTTAGAGATCAAAAATCGAAGTTTCGGTATGAGTAATATTTTCCATAATCTTTATTGTCATTAGATTACATGTTTCAAACTCAGTTGAATAAGTTGCTTCATTGCTGAAAAAAATATATAAACTATGATTGGATTACATCATTGCAATGAATTGTCCTAGCACCACCAACTCTAAACTCTTTTAAAGTTTCGTACAAATATGCTTTGTGCGAAGCTTTTTTTTCATTGCTTGAAAAAGGGTTCAATGTATCAGTTTTCTACTGCGTTCAAGACGATACTATTCCATGTACGAATGTATGTTTCAAAACTTATCTAATCAACCTATACTTCTATCTGATCATTCAAAACATATCTATATTTCCGTCTATCTTTTCCTAACCTTTTACCATTCCAACTCAAGTATGGATGTGGGGGTTAATATCCTTTTCAGCTACAGCGACACGCATCCCATTATATTAAATTGTGAATAAGGATGATCAAAATGCTCCCTGAGGTGTTGGTTCAAATAAAATAAAAAGATTGAAACAATATTATTTATGTAATTTATGTATGACTAGAATAGTTTGATGGATTATGGCTTCCAAAACTATCAACAAATACGCTCTCCAAGTAAGTCGGATATATCATCAACAAAATCACTTTGATAGGTGAGTGTTTGTATGATGTTGACTCTATGATAAAGTTATGCAATCAACTGTTGACTACTATTATTATTATTCACATTTGAAGCAACCTAAACGATGATGCATACAAAGAAATGATTCATCGAAGCACCTATTCCTATGTGAAGCAGTCACTGATTGATTGTTGCTCAAAACAAAATTGCCGTTTAGCCGTGTCTTTCTATTACAAATGGATCGATCAACAAAGAGACGCTCAAATGCCGGACACTTTTTCTCTCCATTATCGAACAAATGGGATTGATTTTTCGAACGAAAAAGAGAAGAGAATTCAATAGTGTTGCCAGAAGCAGTCGATTCTTTTTCCAAGTTTCTTTCGACGGCAACACATATCTATGCACAGGTAAATATTTGAAAAGGCAGTATTCTGTGTTGTTTTTCATTCGTAACGATTTTCTCATATTTTTTCAAAATAATATGGATGAATTAAGGATCATGGAACTCCTTCGCTAAGCAAAAATATATACTGATGACCAGACCATGTCAAAAAATATTTTTATGATTCAGTCAGACTGAACAGTAATTGACAGTGTTTCACCTCTCTAGATTATTGTTGAGCACACACTAAATTAAAAACATAGATTAGAAGCACAATCTGCACATCAGTTATTTGAGAACGAGACGCATTTTCATGAATATTCGGCTTCATGAAAGTTTTACTGTCTTTAAAAAGCACGAGTCAATGCAAAAAAAAACGTATTCTGATTGAAACTTGCCAGATTTGCTTGAGAAGCTTGCGTTGTGCATCCGGCAAATAATTTTTTCTATATATTAAAAGCAGTCTCACTGTAAGAACGTAATTAATACTTTTTGAGGGGCAATGGCGACGAGCTTATTCAGCTGATGTCATTGAGATTCGATACTGACTAGAGATGTCCTCGTCCACTCATAGTCGAAATACTGGATAGTGTACAGAGTAAAAAAAGAATAAGTTTTGTTTCATGGTAATGAAAGCATATAAAAACAATTGATTCAAACAGCAGAAAACACTTATAAACATAAAAGCAAGGAGTGCGATAGAATCGACACAGATTGACCATATATTTTGCGTAAAAAAACGAATTTTGCTGGATACTTAACGATACATTGTTAACAGACAACAAACATATGTCTCACATTGCTCTTCATAATGCTGTTTCAGTCATCTATGTTTGACTCGTCGCGGCAAATCGAAGAGACGTCTTTCATGTCAGGAATTTTTTAGAAGATGACGAAAATATCATGAGTATTATCCGAATTCTACTGAGTAGATTTGCTCGATATAGAGATTGCAAATGTCTTCCCTTCGATATATTTCATCTGCAGGCAGATTGATTTTTCAACAATCATGACCTTTTGCGAAATTCCGATTCCGTCCGAAGTGCCTCCTCTAGACAAAGATAGAATCTTATTGACGGGCAAAATACTTCCAAGACCTTTCACCGTGAAAATTTTTCAGTAGTGATAGTTTTTATGGAACTGAGTAAATCGCAGATTAAGACTCGTCATACATACAAGTGACGTTCATCAATAGTAGAATCCATTAGTCGTAGACCGAATAATTCAGTCTATCTTGGGTTTCTCAATTTCAAGTCTATTTAAAATTAGAAGCCAATCTGAGCGAAAACAGCTAGAATAATTGAAACTCAAGAAATGATAGAACTCCAAGAATTACAAACAAAAGCTGCAAGCCAACAGCAACCAAAGAATAGGATTCAGTTAAACTCCAGAAGTTGGAAACGAAAACACCGAAAAATGACGAAGAAAAAGAGCCTTAACAATCGGAAAATCAAAACAATCATCGAGAATCATGTAGCCAGTACTTGGAAAAAAAACATGTTTTAGATAGATACACAGATACATTTTTAGTTTTAGTTAAACTTTCAAGCACCTGGGATATTACTCTCCTCAGTTTAGCTAGACTTGGCTGGATTTACCTAGCTCTTAATAATATCACATGTTCCTCAATAGTAAAAATATTATTCTTTAATACATATCAACTTTTAGTATGAATGAAAAGAAAATGAGTAAGATGCACATGCCAACAAATTCTCAGAATAATTCAGACAAATCAAAAGACCCTAATAACAGTAAAGCATCTCCACTACCGATGGCTTCCGCTTCGCTCTCATCCTCAACAAACGAAACAAATGTGCCTCAAAAGCATTGCATTAAATATCTTGACACACAGCAAAACTATGAAAGTGTCAGTTTTATTTGGCTCGATCCTCAATCACAACCAATGGGAAATATTGTTAGTGCACTCCGAGTGATAAACAACTTTGTTCAATCGTATACTGATCCATTGTCATGTTTTACTTCGATAGAGTCATCTGATCACAGAATCTTTTTTATTTGTGCATCAACTAATACAGATATAATCACTAGAGCAAACGCTATTGCATCTGTTGAAGCTATCTTCATATTGAAACTAGATGGACAATTAGTTAAAACAGATTTTGTCAAACTCATCGGTGCTTATGAAGAACAAGAAGAACTGCTTTGGGCACTCAAAGAAACTCTCGAAACATTTCAACAGATAAGATTTGAAGAATTTTTATTCGAGGAAGACAATGCGTTTCTCTGGTTGCAGTTGTGGAAAAATGAGGTGAGAAACAAGGATGAATAACAAAAGAATTATTTTCCAAATTCAATATATTTACTTAGATAATGACACGAAAATCAAAAATTGGTAAACAGGAATTTATTGAAGTGGTCCAAAACTACTATCGACACAATAATAAAATACTTGCACTAATAGATAAATTCAATCATTCATATATTGCAGCTGATGCTCTTAGCTGGTGTTTACGTTCTCCATTTCCTTCACGATTTATTAACCATTCACTTCACTCTCGAAATATGGAGCAACTCAATTTTTGTCGTTTTCTTATCAACGATGCGTCACATTTTTTACAGCAACAACCTAAACACAAAACAAGTACACAATTCTATCGAGGCATGAAGTTATCTAGCGAACTTGTAGAGAAATTTGTCAAAAATACCGGTGGACTCATATGTACTAGTTGGTTTTTAGTTTGTACTAAATCAAGAACAGCAGCCTTGACAGCTGCTTCCTCACCAATTTATCGTCCTGATCTAATACCAGTTCTATTTAAAATTGATTGTGATTCAACAACTCCATATTTTGAACAGTCTAAAAATGTTTCGCCGTCAATTATTGTATTTGATGCATGTACTGCTTTCCGAATTTTATACGTTAGTCAAGATCAGATGGTGATAGTGAAGATGAAAATAGCCACTGACGATGGACGAAAAGTTGCTCGTGATTATAAGGAAAAACATGGAAGTATAGCTATTGAAACATTATTAGATCAGCTCGTCGAGCCTTCAAAAGCACGCATCCTGAAACAACCACTCGAGCATCCAATCAAAAATAAAGGTATACAATGAATGAAAATTATTGTAGGAAGTTTTAAAAAGTTGAAATAATCTTGACACACTATTTCTCAACTATTGAGAAACATACTAATGCAGTTGTATAGTTTATTGAGAAAGAAACATGCCTCTTAACAATGAATTTTAAAACAAATTAACCAACAAACATTTCAATCGTAATGCTAGAACTGTTGATGAATTGTGTTTACGCTGAATTATGTGTCTTATTTATTTATAGTATTCTAAACTAAAACACTCAAATACAACTTTTGATGCTCTTTTCATTGGTTTATCTCGATGTGCAGTTTGTGCTAAAAGATCATTAAAAAAAAACAAGACTTTCTACAGAAGAGTTAAAGGTCTCAAGGTTCTTTGTTTTGAGAGTAGTCTGAGATCAAGATTTTCTCAATGTAAACTATCTCATCGTAACAAGCATAGCTTGCACTTCTAAATAGTGTCCTTGGTATTTCTATGAAGGATTATGTGAAAGAACACTGGTGTTATTAAAATTTTTGCCTTCACTGTATATAGATATTGAGATGTCATGTTACAATGCACATGATGTGACTAAAGTAATAACTCTTGATTTCTTATTGAAGTATTTAAAATTCCCGAACAAAATACACAATACATCAAACATGAATTGAAAATCATGTAGTTTGTTACTTTAACTAAATAGTAACTACCAATTTAACTGTTTGAAATTTCCACACGATTATGTTGAAGAAAAGTTAAATAGTGTAGGAATGTTCGAAAATCGAATTATGTTGATAGACGATGGATAAGATTCAAAACCAAGCCTAAGTACGATCATGAAATTTTACGTTTCTTAATATAATACAAAGCAGACAGAAACTCTGATGATGTCCCTTCCTTTATAACATCAAAAATTAGAATCGATTCACTTGTAGGAATGTTTGAATTTCATGTTGTGTATGATACAGAAAAAGTTAAAAGATTTGAGACCAATGCATGTCGTGGTAAAATTGGTAATACTCTATGTTTGTGTATGTAGAACATCAACCTTCACCGCCACCTACATCAAAGACAATACCCGTTAACGTCAGGTATCTTAAATGATGTCATCAGAAAATTTTCTCTTCAAAAAACATTTTTTTTAATGTATTTCAGTAGTTCAACATACACTGACCAAGAATCAAGAGCAAATAAGTATGAAGAGTGCGAAGAAATTGATTTGGCTTTAACTGAAAATCAATCTATTCCATCGACCTCATCACATGAAAACATCGAGATTGTCAAGAACACGGTAAACAAGCGCGAAGGCCAATGGGTGAAGAGATGGAGAGATTATGAGAAACAATAACGTTGCGTGCTTCGATAGGTGTATTTTGTTGAAAGAAGTGTGTATTTTTCACTGCTATGTATTTTCGAATTAAACGTATTCACTATATCGGTAAACGACAAGAAAGGAAAAAAATGCTAATATCGAACTATTTAGAAATCGAATGATGTTATTCGCAAATAAAGCAGCATGTCATTTCATGGATGGAGCACGTTTGAGGAAAACATGCAATTTCAGATAGATATTCATTCGAGCCTGCTGTCCGACAAGCAGCTATGATCTCGTTACACCTAAGGTGCTTGGTATCAATTATAAAGATAAACTTGATCGATTTTGCTCGGAAAGCATTTCATCAATTGTTATACATGTAACTCGGTACAATTCAGCAAAAGATTTGACTATTCAACGTATTCCTTACATGTGTCTCATCTTAAGATAATGAAATTATTTGATTAATATTTATGGATCTAGTTTGTGAATGATCCTCCTTATTCTCTAAATGTTTCAGTTTCTTTCTTTGCTTTTTTTCTCGTGATCACTCATTCTCTTTGTTCGCAAGATAATTAATCTATGCGTGAAACTTTTCACTACTGTTCTACCATCATTGAATCGATAAAGTATAAATAGAAATGGCTGAAAACAATATACAATTGCTTAGTATTTATGAAAGAGTAACCTTAAATAAACTTGAGTCATTTTAATAGCTCTTCTCAATATGTGTGATCATCGTTTATCTGAAAGCGACTCAGTTTTTAATCAGAGACGGACGTGACCAGCGTCTTTCCTCTTTCGTTCTGTCTCACAATATGGCAACTCCAAAACTAACCCTTATCATTTGTGTCTCGCTAATTCTTGTGCTTCGATTTGAAGATTTCTATGTGCATTGTTCGAAAGAATTCTACATGCACTGGGTTAATTGGTAATGTTTCTTCCACTAATACCTCAGATAATGAATAAATCATGGACGATGTTAGCATTTTATCAACCAAGCAATCATTTTTCATGGTCAAAAACAAAAGTTTCCTATTGGAAATATTTGTGCTGCGATTGTCCACGAACGATCGTTTGAACAGGTATATGTCTTTCTGCTTCTAAAATACAACATAATTGTTCAGTAACAACACACATAAGAGTTTAAATAATCATTTTCTGCTTTTTGCATAAAGTATCAGATTATTGATTTCGACTTCCGATTCCATTTGGAATACAAGGAGGACTTGGACGCAGTATTCAGGACCGAAAGCGGTTTTTTCCCAAGATTATTTCGAAACGAGAAACTAAAAAAAAGGAACTACAACAGTCTCGTCGAACAGCGAAAGAAAACTAAATGGAACCACACAAAGATCAGACCCGAAGCACCCTGAAACTCAGTGTATCCGATAAAAAGTGAATGGTTTCAACATCTGATTTCCGCAGGATCCGATCGTAGCTGAAAACTTTCCGCTTTGCTTCTCGTAAAATCCTCCCAGTTTGACGCAGCATTTCCTCAATATTTCACAGAAATCTGCTGCAAAAACCTATAAAATTGTAAGAAACATCACACACTCAGATCAATGATTCGGAAATTTGAAAACAATCTCTATTTCGGCCGATTCTGTTTTTGGTTCCTTGCACTAGTTCTGCTGATAATGATGAGAAATATTCCGATCCGAAAATCACCGTATCGCAAACGGCATATTCCATGCGGTTCTTGTAGTTGGAATGTTAAAGGAACTACATCGTATCCGAATGCCCCCTCCCCCTCTCCCGCACCAGAATCAAACCATGTGCTGCAGGAAACTCAAGCTGACTCCTTGTAAGGCCCAGAAGGTACGGTTGAATCAGATGAATTTCCGTTGATATCCTGCCAGAAGATCCAACATTAGTTCTTTCCTCAATATCTAGTCTGATTCCCGCCATTTCGTTCCACGGAAAAGTTTGCAGATCCTGTTTTGTTATCCACAGATCGCTAGCAGTCTTCTAGACTCAAAGGCTTACGAATCATCTTCTTCCATCTAGATATTCAGAAAAGAACATTGTCGAAGTGAGCCAACAGTGGTCGATGGAAAACGAAGCACCTTCCATTACGTATCCAATATAAACAGAGTTATTTTTCCACAAATGTTCTTCTCTCACCAGAGTTGTCTAAACCATCGCTGCTCATCTTTTAGACACAGATTTGATGGATCATTTTGTGAAGCGTAGGCATCGGCTCTATAATGATTATCTTTGGGGAAGAATGTTATGCTTGCTCTGATGGGTTATATACCGCGCAATTATGCTTTCTGTTGCGGTCGTGGATTGATATCGGGCGAAGATTGCCGTAGTTTCGCTGATTTTTCTGCGATTTCTTGTTGCGTGATTCAATCCTGTTTGCGGTGTTGTGGAATGGCTGCTCTCAGGTCAAAGAGGTACAATGAGAAACATCCAGGTTCAGCCGTTTCACATTTTGGCTTTAGAACTCGAAGATAGCAACAGAATACAACGGCCGAACGCGTGGCTATCCGACTGTATGTGGACAATGAGAGTAGGACAGTTGAACTGTTCCAGCCGTCGAGTTTATGCGATCTGTATAACTTTTCAGGGGCTGTTCAGAGATAGTCACCATACTTGTTGGAAGACTTTCTAGGAGTAGACCACAAAAGTATGGGAATAACATTGCTGTTACATGACCTAACGATTGGTGTTTGACTCGGTACCATTTACTGGGTAATGAGCGAACGGAAAGCTCGTGTATTTGATTCTTTCCCTCAAGCAGTAGCGATGGGCGATTGTCTTTAATTCCACCTAATTAAGTCACGTGATCGAGTGGTTTTACGTTCCAATTAGTATTCAGTAGAAGCTATTGCATTCGACAAATATCATTGAATTCCGTCTTTCCATTTAATCCAATATTGATTCATGATGCAGCTGTATGTTCATATGGGAGAGGATCCAGGTCGATTCCAGATTGGCTCGAACAGCATTATGTGGCTTATTTATAATAGTGTAGTAAATGAAAAAGCATGCTCTGGGTCAATTCACAAGAGGCATGACTTCGGCTAACTCAGGACAACCCTGAGTAACATAATCTTTGGCTTTACAATAGCTGAGAAACAGCTTATTCAACTCTTATTTATTGATAGGAAAAGGTTTCGACCAATCCGATTTAAGTACGGCTTTAATAATTAACACTGTTTTGTGGTTACACTAATGGAAAATAAGCTTGTTTACGTCTGATCGGTTAATGCAAGCAGCACTCAAGCAATGAAATTGCAATGTATTCTGAACAAATAACAAGATGAGCTCGTACCCATGTAAACAAAAACTCGATATAGAATGACATCTGCTTACGCAATTACTTCTACTGGCTCCTAAGTGTATAGTAAAACGATGCAATTATTCAACTTAATTAAATTGAGTCACTGAAAACAGCCCACTATTACTTCATTCATGAACAAATGTAGGATACAACTTCGACGATGCGATTGCAAATTCCCATTCGTGAACGGCAAAAACGCTTGATCAAGACAAATAACGGCTTATTATAATCCTAAAAATGTCCTGTCTTCAATACGAACATGATCTATACGAATTTTCAGTTGCTGCGCTCACCAGAAATTCGCCACTAGACGGTCACTCATTACCTCCTAACATTACTTTCTACCCTTATTCAGCGATACCACCCGTGTTTAGCCATTGAAGACTTACAGATACTTCCTGGATTTGATTTATACAACTTAAGAAAATGAGGACTCTACTGAAACGTGCACGTCCTTCGATGGTTCAAAAATGAGCATTTATTCACAAAAAAATTTAAGTATATTCATTTCTCACTTCGGACCTCTATAATTACCACAAAACTTGTGTTGAGGCAGAGAAGATCCTAAGCGATGATGTGAGATTTGAGCTACGAAAAGTCAGGATATATTTGTTTCCTGTCATACATCTTTAACCTGGGAACATATCTCTGACTCAAATAGAGTCGAATTGATCAATCGATAGAATCCAAAGGTAAAATTTTCTCTAGATTTTGGTATACAGGCTTTTTTTGTTCGGAAAAGAGCACTATAAATGTCAAAGATATGCCGAATAGTTTCATACAGGGAATTCATTGATGATAGATCATTAGTTTTGAGAGTAATCAGAAGATGATATACAATTAAAATGCATTGATTTTTCGAACATCAATAGTTTACATTTAAAAATATATCCGAAGCGAAAAAATTGACAAAAAATCATGTTACTATTGAGTTCAAATTGTAAGTCTTTAGGCATCTCTGTCTTCTCGAATAGAGACATTTCTTGCAATATATTTTGTACGGGCTGTAATAAGCATCGCTCGAGCATAATTTCATTGATTTTGAATTCTTGAAGAGCATTTTTCTTCTTTAAATTTTTAAGGGATTTTTTTTTGATAATGAGAAATATGATTTAATTATTGTATAATAAAAAAAGAGAAGCAAACTAAATAATGACACATAGTGTGCTCTCCTTTTTGTCAGGAATAGACGTTCTGGATGGAGGCAGAGAGGGATAAGCATGAACACCGACGAGAGATGACTCAATATCTCCGTTTCCTGTCTTTTCTTTCATATCATTATTGATTGTTACTCTTTTAATAGGTTTTTCATCAGTTTCAAATAATTGTACATGATTGTCACATTCTTTGTTTTCAAGAATCCGTGGTTTCTCATGGTTGTCTGATTTGTAGTGCATGGAAGACGAATGATGTGACGTAGAATTTTCTTGATCATTGAGCAAATGATTTGGTTTTGAAGGTTTCTCTATTTCCAAGTTCTCTTTCTCTTTTTTCTCTTCGTAAAACCACGCAGCGAGACATGATGCCCTTTCAGATTGAACAAAATTCAAGTCAATATCGTTCAGTTCATTTCTTTGAACAGTTCGACTTGCACTGCCAGTTAAATGTTGCACGAGAAGAGAATAAATAGCATCTTTTAGAGATCCAACATAATAGTATAAGCACTCTGTAAGGATATCTTCCTGCTCTTCTACCAACCATAGATCTTCTTCGGAGGTTGGATCTGACATCAGTTCATTGAATTCTAATCGAACTTGGTCAAATGAAATCAGAGACGATTGAGAAAAATGAAGAAGCATCTTAGCTGCAGCATATCGAATATTCATTGATTTTGACTTTAAACAAGAAAATAAAAGATTTCGAACAGCATTCTCATCTTTGATAGAATTGATACGTGCCAAACATGTATAACAAGTCTTTTGAATATGTGAATCATGACACAGAGCTTCAATGAGCATTTCACATAATTCGACCGTCAGCTCGCCAAATACTGATAAGATAGTTATACAGGCACTACGTCGTGAAAAATCATGTTGTTTACTCGTATAAAATAATGAACGTTTCAAGTCATCTTCATATCCACTGTCTTTTATGCAAGAAATAAATGTTGCAGGCATTCGTACAGCGATTAAACTTGCAACTTCCACATATTGAGGATACCCGTACGCCAAAATATTGTCTGTTGTTTCGCGATAGACTACGTCTTTAGTGAAATGACGAATACTGTTATAAAGTTCAACGACAAAAATTGATAGAAGATCTGGGTGTTCTTCGATGAATTCTACCGTATTTTCTGCACATCTTTGCTGAACATCATATGCAAAAAAATATGCTGTGGATTCGATAAGTGCATGATAACATTGAATATAATCAGAACCGAGCATTTCAAAGAACACTGATTTCTCCTTCAGAACACGTGCAAGTCCAACATGTACGGCTTTCAAAATAACTTGTGAAGAATGTTTGAGCAATTGATGAAATAGATCAATATCGTTTTGGTCAAAATCGATGTTACACACAGCTAAATAATGGCAATAACTTGAGATCAATACACTAATCAAATAGTCTGAGTCGTGAGAAGTCTTATTTGCTGCCTTATTCACTAGTATTTGAAGCTTATTAAATAACTTTTTATACGTTTCTTTATCCAGAATGTAACCCAGAGCATATGCTGCTGCTTGACATATCGCATTGTTTCTCGATGATTCAAGTAATGTTATCAAAGCGTCGACTCTCACTGGTCGTGTTTCATCATCATAAGCAGATAAAGTAGCCAAAGACACTAGTACTGAAACAACAAAACGAATATGACTATCCAAAACCAACTTCGATGTTATGTCACCATCAATATCCAAGAATGATGAAAAATTCGATGGAATCAAATCACACATATATTGCAACAAATCTCCAGAAATATTTCGTATATGACCACAAAAGGATACATCGACGGTAATGTCAGTTGGAAAATATGCAGCAAAGTGAGAAACTGGCGATGAATTTAATTTATTCAATGAAGGTTTTTTAGAAGTCAATGCGTAAATTCTGTGTCTTTCTAACCAAAGGAAAGCTTCCAGATGAGATTGAATATCTATTGTTATATTGTCAAACATGCGAGATAAAGTTAGCTTGGCAAATGGAGAAGTGTGCTGAAAGTGCGCCATTTTCTTTGTTAAAATTAATAAAACATCGATATCTAGTTTGGAACTGGCTCGAGATTCGTAGTCACTTTTTGATCGCAAAAGGATTTCAGCTTTTTGACGAAAACGATCATTTTCACAACACAAAAGATCACATACAATGGTGGCAGTTTCAACAGACCAATAATCTGATTGAGCAAGAAGTAATGCAGCATGAAAAGCAAACAAAGAAAGTTCAGCTGATTCTTTCCATCTCATCCAACATTCGATCAAGCGACAGGCTTTGAATTCAACTAATTTCAAACGATGTAATGTATTGTTTAAAATAAACCAAAACTTTTTAGAGTATTTCCATCGATTGGATGATAAATTAGATGAAAGAAGATCCGTTATCATTGATGCTTGTGCAACTGTTAAAATAGGATCTTTCAATTGACATAATTTCATTATTATTATCGACTCATCTCTTGTCTGTGCACCTGTATTTGACACATGCAACAAATGATCATTGGTCCCAATACATCCATGAAGTTCACTTGTTAGTTCCATTAGATGCATGTTAGAAAGAAGCAGCGACAAAGATAAAGATTCAGTCAATACATTTTCATATGGATCCACAGTAAAACATTCCCTCAATGTAGAAGATCTGCTGCTCATGATATTGTTATAATCAGCATAATTCTGTTTCGTTAAGCCATTCAAAATATGCTGTTGAAATGGTACGAAGGAAGAATTCGATTGCAGATAGGGTAACAAGGCTTTGTAGACAACTTGCTGATCTTGTTGATCAGCATCGTTCAACTTGTGAAGGAGACTTCTTCGACAATTTTCAATTGTATCTTGCCGTTGAAGAAGAGGTAAACATCGAATAAATATAGCCGTGTGTAATAGAACAGGTAAATCTGGAAAAATCTCATTGAACTGATGCTCGATTTCTTTTTGCAAAGATCTGCCATTACTAAGTTTGATTCGATGATATTCTGAGTGAGAGTAAAGAAGAATGACACTCAATGCATCGAGACGCATAAGTTTTGATTCAATGCACATTGCTCCTCGAACACTCTCTTCTAACAAATTTAATTTCCTTTTCTCTATAGTCCATCTGGAAACACGTGCCAAAGAGACGCATGCTGAATAGAGCTTCATGCTTCTTCTGTCATTCTCAATCAAAGCATTTCGAAGTCGTTTATGTTCTTGTTTAATGCATTCTTTTATCAGTGTTCGTCGCTCTTCGTCTGACATATCATCACCGGGAGGAAAGTTTTTAACTCTGTCCAAGTACAGACCTGTTTCATAATTCATGGGACATTGTTTACTGATTTCAAATCCTTGTAGAATGTAAGAATCTGTTTTAGCAAATGCCCATAATAGACTGCCTCCAAAGTTCTCTAATTGATGTATTCGAAGCATAGGTAGCAATGCGATTAAGGCACTTAGAAGAGAAAACTTTTTACATGATGCATTTGATAATACCATCAAACATTCAACTAGAATATGACTAAAACAAAGATGTTCTTTGTCGTTGACTTTCCGACTTTTTGAATCGACTCTGATAAACTCTTGTTCTAGTAATCGAAAGTAAAGTGTCTGTAAATGTCGTGGAACAAATACCAACGAAAATAAGAGATCTTCATCATTGCGAAATAGTAAATATTGTTGTATGTCGTCCATAGCCACAGCCATTCGGTACGATGTGTTGAACACATTATCATGCTCTAATATCCAGAAAAGTCTAGTGAAATGATGAAGCACAGAACAAGCATTCCGACCGCGATCGAATTGTATATCTGTCGATAAGAGATTCATGAAAAAGGGAGAGTCTTTGCACAGAGAATTAGGCAGATTCAATGTCACTCTTTTATCAGGTTTTGAGTTTCCTTTACGCACAATCGATGTTGTAGAAGATCGTAAACGAGCCATACCACTTGTTAATGAATCTAAGAAACCTAAAAATAACTGTTTTGATGATTGATCTACGTGAACTCGTTTGGTTAGCCTAGAAATAAATGTTGTTGTTTCATTTTCTATTGAACGATCGTGTTCGTCATTAGCAAAATAGAATTGACGTAAAATCATTGAAACATATTTGAATCTACTGATACTCATATTAAAAGAAACATTTGACATGATTTTGTCATTTTGTCGCATAAAATCAATGCCGTATAAACAGATCATTGCAATACAAATATCGACAGTTTCCGAAGATTGATCTTTAGTTTCTATTCGTGTTAGGAGAGCATTTAAAAAGTTTTCTTGAAGGTCGATCGGATTTTGATCGTTCTTATTACGGTCTTTTTTGGAAAGAAAACGTATCAAAATTAGTGTTACAGCCGGTGACTCACGATAGATATGAATTGGGTCGAAGACAATTGATTGTTCATCTCGCTTCAAACCACCATACAAAATAATGATTAAAGGCAAAAGAAAAGCAGGAATTGAATGTAATTCAATTTGTTTTGCAATTAAAAACTCTTTTAAAGTATTTGGATGAACAGATAACAAACGATGGTTAAAGAAAGAAATTTTAACTAGCAATCGATCAATTGCAAATTGATTCTCCTCATCATCCAGTGTTGAGAGAGATTGAAGCATCGAACAAGATGATTGATCCAACCAATGGATGTTTTCAAATTCACCAGATTTTCCTTCGAGAAGATAACACAGAGCTGAGATCGTTTGAATATCTAGTGGTGGGGATCTGGACAAAAGATTATTAATCCAGAGTGGAACAATATTATTTCGAAGTTTTCTTAGTGCAACTGCAATATGATCGAAAAGAAATGGACAAATAAGCGACCATTGATGTTGACCAGCTGTAATGATTAATTGATCTAATGCATCAAACAAAATATTGTTTGAAGGATAATGAACAAGATCATTGACACAACTAATTAGTATGAAAGCACCAACTGGTAAAAGAGACTCGGATTCATCTTCAACTTGGATAAATTTGCAACAAAAATCATCAAAATCATTCGGTGACCAACAAGAACTAATCCTACCCAGAGCAAGTGCAGTAGGTACTCTAAAATGCGGATCATTCATATGACGACGCAATGATTGAATAACAAGATAAATTTTATTTTCTGAAGAAGATTCATCAACGACTGATATTTCGTTTTTTAATTCGTCGACATTGGTAAGTTTCAAACAAGTAAAATATTCTTGCAATGTCACATGAAGGAATCCATAAAGAGATTCACCGCGAGCAGTTAATATCCCAATACTGTTATGACATATTCGTACAAATTCAGTTGTTTGGTCTTCGATCTCACAACGATCTTCATTATTGCATAGGCTTTCATTTAAGGAAATTTTAATCGATTGAATGCAAATTTCTTTCATTTTATCTTCGTGAATGAGACCAGAAACTGAATTTTCATGAATATGAATGGCGATATCACTTAGAATTTGAATAAATTTTGATATACTAATAGTCGATTCTTTAGTATTCCATGAATGCAACATAGAATCAACAATTTCTTGATAAAATTCAATACGCTGAGCAGGTAGTGATGAACCATTTGATTGACGAAAAGCTACGCTACAAATGAATGACATCAGGCAACAATTCGAAGCCATATTAAGAAGACTAACATTATCTACTTTTGTCAATTCTTGCTTAAGTGCTTCACCGTGATTCTTTCCTTGATTGCTTTTTGACAGACTTAAAGCAGCGATAATCTGCTGATGAACATGATAAAACCAATAATCAACAAAGTCTTGCATATGCTCGATATCCATCGGTTGGATTATATAATGTGAAAATTGACCAGCTAAAGGAGCAGCATGATAGCCCACAATACGACTTGTAATAATTAACTGGTTTCCTCCAGATTGAGATGGATCATCGAAGTACCTGTTCAAATGTAGATTATCAAATACAGACCTACCTGTCGGTGTTTGAACATAAGTTTCGACAAAATTTTCAACAACATGGATCACTTTTGAACGTTGATCAAAAACTTGAATCTCATCAAGACCATCAAGAATAATCAAAGCTTGACCTTGTCTGATGTAATCATGAAGAGCACTTGATAAGTCATCAAGAGAAATCGCTTGATCATCAACAATGACTTTGCCCATCCATCTGTGTTGTCCAATATACTCAAATAGAGTCAATGACGGCTGTTGGTTCAAAAGTTCAGCAAATTCTCCAATATGAATCAGAATTGGAATTCGAAGAGGATCGAAATCACTCGAATTTTGTCCGTTGGAAAGAAGCGTTTGAGCTAGATGATGAACAAGCCATCGAGCAAAACTCGTTTTTCCAGTACCCGGATCACCCAATATAACAATCCAACGTTTTAGTCGAAGGATAGCTTCCACATTAACATTTTCCTCTGCTTCTTCTTGAGCATATCGATCTCGTTCAACCATTGATAACATGTAGGGTGCTGATATCAATTGTTGCCATGGATCAATCGCCTCTTGTCTCTCACTATCTTGTCCGATGAGTAATCGTCGTGATTCGCTTCTTTCAAATGATGTAGATTCATCAGGTTTCAATTGAATAAATGTACGAGTGAGAGGTAATTCACATTTTTGCCATTTCTGTTCGAATTCTATCTGAGTTTCCGGAGAAAGTTCATAGAAACTATTAGCAACTCTACCAACAATATCATCTTTGAGACCACGAAATGGTACAGTTTTATGTAACTCCATACAACAACGAAGATAAGATTCAATCGTCTTTGCATGTCTTGCACGCAATCGATCAAGTTCTTCTTTCGTGTGCTCCTGTGTCTGTTGCTCGATTTCCTTCAATCTTTGACTCTTCTTTCTATCGTAATCGTTCTGTTGAAGAAGCTGCTGCTCATGATAAGTGTCGCTGATTATATTGACTTTAGTTTCATAATCATCTGTTAAGTTAGCTTGATGTTGTGCAAGGCGCAATTGAAGGCGAAGCAATACTGATTCAAGTTCTCGATAGGCAATACCTTCCGATTCAGATTGATCATCACGACAACTAGCAGCAACTTGTTCGATGGTTTTAATTGTTTGTGAAATTTTTTCCTTTGTACGATGTCCATCTTTTGTTACACGCTTCTCATTTAATCCTTGTCGAAGTCGAGTTAAATTTTTCCCAACCAGCCTCCAATGATCTTCTAACACTTTTATCTTTTCTATTCGTTCGATGAGTTCATCGACTCTCGCTAATTTCGAAGCAGCAGTTGACATTTCAACACTTTCAATTAACTGTCAAACAAATGAATTGTTAACAATGGTCAAATTATAGAAGTTTTGTGAAAAAGGACTCTCAGAGAGTTTAATGTTTGTTCCGATATGTTGGTCAAGTTTTCTATTTCATTATGAGGCTTAGCTGACTAGATATGAATAATAGCTAATCAATTAATCTAATACAATTGTTACAGAAAAATTTTCTTTGATGTTTTATTTCGTATGAGAGAACAAGCTTTGCACTAATCTGTATATGTGTACGTCTGAATCACGTTTCTCGTGTATGCTGAAATCAATGTCTTCTATTTTCAAACTTAACTGTTTGGATGAAACGAGAAATGAATCTTCATTATTAACTGTAATGTTAACTAAATCATTTTTTTAGTACTTAGCCTTAAGTAAAAACGCAGTCTAATATAGTAGAAAAGTAACCTCTGATAGCTTCACAAAATTATAGATATGAATAGTGTACATCTTCAGATCACCAGATTCGTTCGAAAAGTACTGATACCTCCTAATGACATACTTCATTTGATTTTCTTTCAATTATTCAAGTTCTAACATCAACATGAAATAGCTTGAAAGATTTCATTCTTACTTAATTTATGAAACGATCAATAACTTCGTCGGAAGATCGTGTATAAAATGTTCAAGAGACATTAGAACAACACTTACGCCAGCTGAGTCAGTTTAAAAGATGAGAAAAAAATTCAGCACTCAGATTATCAATATCCTCAACAAATAGAGAGTTTCCAACTCGACAAACTCATCAACTTATTTAAAAATCAACAAGAATATTATCTCCTGAAATGAAAGTCTTCAGCGCAATTCCTGTAAGATTGAAATGTAAAAAACGATGGAGCTACTTTAATCATTGCGACGTGACCTCTCTATTATGTTCCGATTGGTTGACGAGCCAATAATACCGTGTCGAAATTCCTTATAGCGTAGCACACCGAGATAGATATATCGAAATCTCTATTACGGTCTGTAGAGCCGGATGAAGTGCTTATTTTTCTTGCTCTAAACTTCAACACTCATTGTTGGTTGTGTTTTACAAAACTGTTCATGATCGAAGTGTAAAATTCAACATTCAAAAAAAAAAGAGTTTATAGGCATATGCAAGAAAATGAAAAAGTACATTGCTTTCCGCTCATTCATCCTAGAAAAAAACAACAGAAGTTGCGAATGTCAAAAGACACTTTTATCTTCTCATTTTAGGAGTGGCAACTGTGAATTTTTATAGTTGTAAAAGTCAAGTTTCCTGAATCCTGTTTTCGTCTAGCACAGTTTCTAGAAACCTGGCCGATACAATATCGTGATTAGCCTTATTTGAATTCAAACTTCTCAGCATCATAGGTGTTTTATCAACTGTACATATAGACAGGAGTGAAGTGATGAGTCTTGAAAGTGAACATCGGACCAATTTATAGAAGCTTTATTAATCTACTCTGAAAAACTCAAACTCCAGTTATCTAAATCAGAGTGATAGGTAAGGTATTGATACAAGATTGTTCATCTTACCTCTGTCTTTGTTGCACGTCTGTAATAAACTTATTCTTATTTGTGCATAAATAAATCAGAATAATCTGAAAAAAATAGACAAGTATTCAACCCTAATTGAAATTCATTACGTAATATAATAGAAAACAAATATATCATGGTATCATTTACATCAATGCAAGATAAAAAAATTGTTCGATGATCATCACCAATATTGCCTTTAATGTTTTCAATACGAAAATGGGTACTAAGTTGAAATAACACGTTCATTTCCTAAGAATGTATCTAGATAGATTCAATATATTTCGATTCAGAATATATTCAGATCAGTCACTTTTGTATTGAATAATAAAAAGTGTGAGTATTTTGCCCGACTCACGTCGTGATAAGAAAATCTCTGCTTACTCTTTTAATTTTGTCGTTGAGGCGAATGCGATCTTAATTTGACTTCGCCAATAGATTCTTTAGAGAGATCAATGTCTTGTAGATATAATTACATTCTTCTATATATAACTGACTCATCGTAACTTTGCTTTTGAAAAGCATAAAGATAATTGCGAACATACTAATAAAAAGATCCCAATGTATCAATTTTCTCCACATCTTCCTTTCACGAAGTGTTATTAACGGATTTGAAATTCAGGACTTCATCGTATAGAATGATCGTTTTCTTCAAATTCCGTTGCTTCATGTTCTAGACCCGATGCAACTTTTTGCGGTGTCTCTTCTTCCTTGTACCGATAGCTCGGATTTCTTTTAGTTCAATGTTTGATAAAAAGCGACATCCATACGCGGGGATCACTAAAAGATTTTGTGAAACAAGAAAGAAAGTGAGTTTAATGCTGTAGAGCGAAAAAATCGGGCCCACTCCCACAGGTCGTGACAGAAATGTCGACATCCTATACCATTGTTTTTCAATAAATACATTGGTGTATGAATCGATATGAAACCTTTAAACGTAAATATCTTTTCTCTCTATCTGGATTAGATGTCTTAGCCTCTTATACACGTCATCACAGAAAAATGGAGGTTCTTCTCCGTTGAGCTCATAGTAAACATAATGAAGTCATTGCACACAAACACAAACATGTTTGCTGTTTTCATTACAACTCACTAGAAGGTTCAGAAAAAAAACATTATTTTCAAGTATCTAATGATTGCCTTTAATCGACACTAGTAGATTTTTCGATCCCAGTATTTGAAAACGGTTAAATAACTTTGAATTCGTTGAAAGTTCAGCATTCTATAACCCAAAAACCGTGATAACATGACACAAAAATTCACAATATCATGGGGACTTGTCTGTCATAGTGTATGGGGTAGGGTGAGAAATTCACTTTTTCCGTTCTAAGCTTTAATAGTCATTTTCAATCGTGTTTTACAAAATTCTCAAAAGAGGTAGCTGAAGTATAAAAACCTCTTTTGTTTCAGTTCAATTTTGGAGTTCTCCCTGAGGAGAACCATGGATAAATTTTTCCAGAAAAATAGAAGTAGCCGGAACGCTTTGAAATAGCTTCTAAGCGTATTCCTAATGGGGTTAAAATGACAAAGTGTCGTATATGACTTCTAGCCATAAACTAAACAAAGAATGCTTATTGCATTGACTTTCTCCAAGATTTTGTTGATAGAAAATCGTTTTGTTTGATTTTCTGAGACAAAAATAACGAATACTACTTTAAAAACGGATCTCTATCGAAATTTACCATCAGAATTTTGAAAAATTGGCAGATAATATTAGAAGATTTCGTAGAGCATTTTCATTCAAATTTCAAATCAATTAAAAAACTCCATTTCTCTTAAAAGTCCATTAGTGTGACGCTCAAACAATCATAAACCGAAGTCTAAAAATCAAAAATTCTATGATTAATAAGGCTTGATATAGTGCATCAGTATCTGAAAGGGGGCAGCTATTTGTAAAAGAAAATGTCTATAAGATAGAAGCCTCCGAACTCGCATTCCAACTTACACTCGCTATTTTTATAGTGAACTCCGCAAAAGAAGAAAAGTAGATTTCTCTCGTCTTAGAATATCATACGATGGAAACGCAAAAATACCACACAGTAGCATGAAGTAAAGATTGGTTTTAAAAATGTGTTACAAACAGACATCTAATACTTTGTTCGAAACGCCATAATTCTATGGCAGAACTGAGCAGATCCAGTCAAAAATGCCTTAGGTCCAAGTCAAAGGAAGTCTGAGTTGACTTGTCCAGTCCTGTACTATGGTCCTAAGACCCATAATAACATGTCAGTATATCTGTCACATTCGATGATGAGATTAATGAGTACAATCTTCTAAGAAAGGTATTTGCTTAAAAAAAACAGGATTATCTTTCCACATGCTTAAAAGATTGAAGAGGCCTTCATGAAAAAATCAAGAGTTCACCAGAGAAATTTACATTGTCAGACCTTCTCAAGCAATTATAGTACATAGGAAATATGTGGTATTAATGATTGACATGTATCCATCTCATTCAATAAAGATGGAAAATAATTCTTCAAATAATTATTGTCTAAGGTTATCAGTGATCTTTCTTCAACTGTATTCAACACAAGCAAGTAGTCACTCTAGTTCAGTTCTGTGAATAGACTGCATTGTGCTCACTTACGTTTGAGAAAAAGAAATATTAAACTAGCGCTCACTGTTGTTTCAATCGTTGATTGTCTTGTTGTTTGTTGAATTGAATGACTATGTGTGGTATGAGACACAATGCATTTCTGTTTTGTTTGTTCTCTGTTCTGCATTGCGTGAAATTGTACTTTCTTTTGTATTGCTTCAAGTCATGAGACTTGTTCGCAACTTTTAATTTCATTTAAATGGAATACGGCCATAAAATGTTCTATGAGATCAGTGTTGCTTTCATCTTGCGCTCAGAATGTTACAAAAATGCTTCACTATGTAGCTGCTAATGGGATGCAAACGTGGAGCTCAAATGTTTCTTTACTTTTTGTAATAGCAACAGAAATTTTGTATTTTAAATGTCGTATTCTTCTAGGCAGCTTCTGTAATCCAACAATATCTGCGGCAGATATTGCTTATATACTATTTTCTTGATGTTCTGAACTATCTGGTTCTTCATTTGTTTTGTCCTTGTGAGCAGAATATTTTTTAGTTTAACAGATTAGATATTCTGCTAGAAACAATGAAATAAAAGCTAAATGAATTTATCAACCATCCTCGAAGGGACACAGTAGGCAGCACTTGTGATAGGTTGACTGCATTCAACAAATAAGGTGCGTAAGAATGTTGGTCGAACTTTTTCATGTACATGTTGCAATCAATGTTAAATTACAAAATAATGTATTGTGTTGTATCTTTCTGATGATTCATATGAACTAGTCGATAATTTGTTCTCAAAAAAAACGAAAATATGCGGGGTCTGTGTAGGTAACAACTGTGTCTATATTGATGATGTCGGTAGCTTCGCCGATTAAATGCATGTTTGGATCAGCAAAGTAATGGAAAACCATAAGCAAGTTACATGATTAGAACTTCGCTTTTGCGCTGAGCAGAAAGCGTGAAATAGAAATGCAGTTTTTTATTGCAAAAATCTATTGAAAATTTGAAAGTTCACTTGAAGTTCAAAATTGGCTTTCCGGAAATGAACTAGTTTATTAGAATTACCATTGAGTAAATACCTTTAAAAGCTTGACAAGCGTCGAATAGTAGGCTAGTTTAGACTTTATGAAATCTCTAGTTGTACGAGATGTATGAGACTATTACTTCATATGTTCTATTCAAAAGCAACATATTCGACAGAATGAAAGGAGCTATATCTTTGGAAACAATAATGTCGCGAATAGGAAAATATGATCATGCCTCTTCAATTCCTACAATGATTTTCTGTGATAGCAGTCTGCACATTTTTCACACTAGGGTGTGGTGTAAGTGATATAGAATAGAAAAGCCAGAACCACACTATAAATACAGTATGATATTATATGTACTTTTAAAATTTTCATGTTAGTAATCATTGACTTCCATAAGAATATTTCAATATTAGGTGGTATTGATATCTTCTATTCATATTACCATTCTCAGCATACCTGATGATGATCTTTAGCAAAGATCGAGACACGTCATACAGGTGTTTTATTTTACTGTGACAGTAATATGTTTTGGTCTTCTAATCATAATGTTCACTTCTCAGCGATTTTAGTCATTTGACGAGTCTCTTAGCAGAAAATTAATCATAATAATAATAGCTCTATCATGCTCGACTTGCACCGATTTGTTGTTAGGAATTATTAAGAGGACGGTAAGGAGAAGTAAAGAGCTAAACGGATGTTTCTAGCAATTCCAGAAGTTTGAAAATGAAGCTGATTTTCATCGATTGTAGACAGATTTCAAATGTCAATGTGTCGAGATTTTATTTTTCTTGAATAAAAGAGGAAAACAGGTATGCGAGCCTTCAATTACATGATGTCAGTAAAGAGGAGAGGAGAGGCTATATTTTATTTTAACCAGACGTTAACTAATGGGCTGTTAAATACTTAAAAATAAAGATATAACAGCTATGAGGGAGTGCGCATCTATAGGTGTCCATCCATTAAAAAATATTTCGTAATTTGTTCCTTGAAGTAGTTAGACCGATCATAATTGTGGACAGTATACATTCAATCAACACTCAAGCACTCATGGTTTTCATTTCCGACTACATACTGTAAGCAACCACAGCCACGAATGAAGAAGTTACATGCTATCTAATTCGAACACTCGAAATTTGGGCTAAATCTCCAGGTTCTTCTTCGAAGATGACAGTTTTACGTGCGAGATTTGACGCGAGATCGAAGACTTCATCGAAGAAAATTCTATTTATGGCACCGGATGCCCTATATTGAGACCATCTGATATAACTAGTATTCATATATCAAACAAAACATAATTCAATTTTCTTCGCTTCTTTAATATATAGCCAAGATCTTTTCATGCTATAATAAGATGGAAGTCACCTTCACTGAGTGTATTGATAAATTTCATCCAATGTAGGAAAATGTGAAAACTTAGAACATGCATATTCTTTCAGTATTTTAATAATCTATTAAAAACACGTGTTCCTTAACAACACGTATTTTATTGAAACATTCGTTTTGAAGAAAAGACTATTCTAAAGAAAGAAAATAAAGTAAAATACATTTTCATTATATTTTAGTTGCAAAAATGTGATTTTTACAACTGTAAGATGAAGTTTCTGTACTAATGAGAGAAGGTCGAGCATTTTCAAGCCTTTGTATCCTCTATAGTCTAAAAACAAATATCTAAAACTTATCTGCATAACACAATTTTAGTTCTGTTTTGTTGCATTCTAGCTTTCGTAAAATTTTCAAAAAGTTTGGTAGCATCATTTCTAACAAAAATCTAAAAAAACTCTCATGAAACCGTCTCTGAAAAATATGAAACTATGAAGCATTCATTAGAGTGTGGATATAGTCCTTCTTTTTTCCCGCACTCACACCCATCATTAAACCTTTCAGCATCTTTTTTTTATTTCGATCATTATTTTTCTGAGGGAAAAATTTTTTTAATATGGTGTAAAATAGGCCGTTTTTTACATGTTTTTTTTCCGACCCACAGTGTATCTTTCTCTCACAGCGTGCTCACCTTCTATTTTCTTTGTTCTGGGATTGATTTTTTTTCTGCCTATCTTTTGTACTATCACATGTGGAATCTTCCTTTTCGTACTCTTCTTGTTAACTGGATTTTTTTTTCCGTTGTTATAATTCTTGTTGAATTATTCCTGTCGTATTCATCTTTAGAAACAGAACATAATTTCATCATAAAAGACATATTGTTCACACATTCATTTTCTTCGATGTACTAAGTCAGCCTCTTAAGAGGTTCACATCCTTTACAACATTGATTATAAGTTTTTTCAGAAAGATTCAATAAGTAAGATTCGAAAATAATACAAAAATACAATTGAACGTGACAAACGATAGAACTTACATCAACACATGTCATGATACTGTTGAAATTCTAACGTGAATATCTTCTCTACCGGGGAAAAAATTAACGCAAATAATATTTTTTATCTAAAAGAAAAAATTAATGGTCAAAAGAAGTTTTCTTGGATATATCTGAACAGTAGAAGAATAGAGATTTATTTTGAGATTGAAGGTTAGAGTGTGCTTAAAATACATACTCATTTTTTTAAACTTAATATCCTTGAGCAAGTATTATCTAGAATTTACCGCTACAGTGGCTCCATCAGTATAGTTTTTGATTGGTCTTTTCTTAAAACAGTAACTTAATATACGAATCAGACCTTTGTTGCTCAATGAATTTATTGAAAATGTATAAACTAACTGAAGAACAACGTTGGTCTATTATTATCGAATGGAAAAAAGGCTCTCTAAATGTCTTAAAATTTGCACGTTCCTTCAAATGTCACTTTACTACAATATACCGTGTGATTAATTATTATCGTCGTCATAATGATGTCAATTACACAGATCGATATAACGCTGGCCGTCCACGTGCTCTCGATTCAACACAAATCAAACAACTTGATCAAACTATACGACAAAACCGAGCAGCTACTGCCGCTGAATTATTATCACTCACACAGTTCAAGATTACCGAACGTACGATACGAAATTATCGTTTATCTCTTGGTTATCGTCCTCGTAAGTCAGTTGTTAAAGTCAAAAGTAACAATTTAGATGAACAAAAACGATATGAATTTGCTGTTACTCATCAACATGCTAACCTCAAGAATTATATTTTCGAAGACGAATGTTATTTCGGTTTAAGGGATACACAGCAGATTGTTTGGTGTAAACGACGAGAGCCAACACCCAAAAAGGAAATTTCATCACTACGAGCACATGTTAATTTAATTGGTTTCATTTGGTGGAATGGTTTTGTTTTTCGTCGATTTAATGGCTGGTTAAATAGTGATACATATTGTGAAACAGTTAATCAAGCTTTATCTAAAAATTTATGGGAACTAAATGGATATTTATATGTTTCTGATGGAATTAGTTGGCACAGAAGTGCTCAATTCAATGAATGGTGTGATCGGTATAATATTGAATTATGTGAATGGCCGGGTTATAGTCCCGATTTTAATGCTGTCGAATTAGTCTGGAACATTATCAAACAAAAAGTTAAAACAAAAAATCCTAAATCACAACGTGAACTGGAGAATGCTATTGATGGAGTTTTGAATAATTTATCGTTAAGTGTTATTCAATCATGTATTCGAAAAACTCAGAATGTTTATGGACAATTTGTATCATCATATTAGATTTCTTTTTGTATTCTGAATGTCTATTCTCGTACTATTCAAATATATCCAAGAAAACTTCTTTTGACTATTAATTTTTTGTTTTAGATAAAAAATATGATTTGCGTTAATTTTTTCCCCGGTAGTCTGCAAAGAACGTCTTACCACAGACGTGAAAAACTAGTGAAAACAAAACGTATCTATCAATAGAAATAACCAGAGATGCCAACGATGTTGTAGCAGCATTAGTCATCTCACTAGTATGAATGATATGTGGTCTTTCGCTTGACATTTGCATCATTTCCTCATATTTCTAACAAAAGTGAACAATTTTCAAGTCGTTCCCTCATACACTTCCTACATAAGAAAAGATTACCCAAATACCACAAAAAAATCGATTATAATAAAAGAATTATCAAAAGTATCGAAATTTCTTCGATTATTCTGATTAGATATGATTAAAAATGGTGCAAAAACAAAAACATTTTCAATCAATTTTCATCTAACTATAAGCGTTAAAAGTTTAATCAAGTTTTGTTTATTGTACATTGCTTATAAGCAATATGTTAACGGCTTTTTAATCAAAAATAATCAGGGCAATCAATGAAATTTTGATACTTTTAATTATTTTTTTTTTAATTGTAATCGACATAGAATCGATTTTACGCATTATTTATTTTTCATGGACTGCATGAGTAATAGAAGGAAGTAGAAAATTAAATTACAAACAACCTTGAATATTGACGCAATCTAATTAGAAACAAAGTGAATCAGTTGATACTAATTAGGAAGCTTATTTTTAGACTGGAAGAAACCTTTTTATTTATTTAGAATTGAATAAAATCATATAAGATCACATCTATAGTGAATATTTGACAACATGAGAAGTGCATCTATTATATCTCCTGCGACCAATGGGCAAGATAATTTCTTTTTATGGGGAATGGTTTTGCTTCCAATTTTATCATTAATGGCGTATGTCTACGATGCATTTTACTATTACCATGTGTTATTCAAATCTGAGCAGTCAATCTATGAAGGCCTTTTCTCGACAATTCTTATCGTTTTTTCATATCTACAATATTGTGCTCCAATTAAATCGGTCCGTTTATTATTCTTTTACCACTTATTCTTATGGGTACTTGTTGAAACTGGTCATATAGGCTATATTCTCTCATATGTTTACAAGAAAAACATTTTCTCAATCGTTATATTTTCGGGATGGATGGTTCTAGACATAGTTTTTACTGCGGCTCTTATTTATTGCCGTGTATATCGGAGACATCATCATAACATAGAAGTAAAAAACAAACATATTTTTCATTTCATCTCTCGATTGGAAATTATTCTTGCCATATTTATTCCTATTTTTATTAATGAAAAATTTGTGACAATAACTCGAGATAATATCGCTTTTTTTCTCTTATTTGACTTTTTTTCAGAGACATATGAACGTTTTCGTAGTGGTTGGATCAAATCATGTCTCTATTTGTTTGTAGTCGCTGTGACTATATCTGTGACATGTGAATGGCTCTATTTTCGTTTCGAAAAGCACGTATTCGAGTATATTACCGATGTTTCCGAGCTCGTAGCTGCGTGTCTTTGTAATACTTTAATTATCATGCAGTTTTATAAATGCTTTTTCGATTGTCATACTGAAATTAACAATAACAACAGAGAGAGAGAGCTTCTCTCTACCGACACTACAAGACAACAATGGCACCAAGACAGTTCGACAGATGATGTTTATATCATCCTACGGCTTTGATAATTTATTCATAGTAAACTTGAAGTTAATATGTTATATATAATTAATAAAAAGAAAATTGTGAAGATTAATCGATTTTTCTTTTTTACGACAAGACTATGTTAATGCTTGTTCATTTTTTATTTCGAATAAAGCTATTGAAATGATTGAAATATGTGCTGTAGCAAGAGAATATCAATTCAGACAAGCTTTTTTCGTTTTTATATTCGCTTGAGAGAAAAAGAAAAAAATAAGAAATATACTATTAGAACTTGGTAGTTTAATCATAAATCTTTGTTTTTATATGGACAAACTTTTCATATACTGTTCAAAATTATCATTTTCGAATGAATTTTATCTGCTTGAACAAATAGTTCATCATCTATAATAAGACTTTTCAATTTAATATCATTATTAAAATTGTTTTATTACTATTGCGAATAATTCATATTTGATGGTAACCATCAATAAAAAAGTATCTTTATGGAAGTCAATTGATATGCGATCTGTTTTCGACCACTATTGACCTAGAATCGACATATGAACCAAATTGGTGATATTTTCTTCTAATGAAACTACACTGTATGTCTTCGTTTGATGAAAGATTTATTTAAATATTGTCAAAACAAACAGATAGGTTTACATTGAAAGTATATTTGTTTTATCGTGCCATATAAATAAGAATCCAATCAGGATTGTGTTTGCGATAAAAAACAAAAAAACTTGTTTTCCTACATTTTGAGTTGAATCATATCTTGAAAAGTGTAATGAAAATGTTGAGTTTCTCTATCTTCTAAACAGATATATACAATAAATTACTGCTGCTTTACGTTTGTAGATTTCTTGTATAGTGTTAGAACAAACATTTTTCGCTTAGAACGACAAATACACATGTTCGTTTTTCAAGTCTTTGATTCGATAAAACAAAGTACTATTTTGAGTGTGAGTGTGAATTTAGAGAAAATCCACACCCACGCCCTATTCACCAAAGCACATATAACGCCGTTTCCAAAAGATTTTTCTCGAAATATTTATCACTACAACAACTTTTTAACTTTGATTAATAACAACGATGACTTTATTATTATACATCATCGTTTACTGAATGAACCTATCATACTAAACATCAAATAATTTTAGTAATCGCAAAACATATCGATCTGAACCCAAACAATTGTTGAATATCAGAATAAGCCTAAGCCACGACGATCGACAAAATCTTTCAAGACGCCAATCTGAACATCCTCATATCTTCCCTAGATATTCATTGAAGCTAGAAGTCACCATTTACTCAGAGTCATAAACAAAAAAAGTCATACGAAAATATAGGACCATATTGATACAGAACAAAAGGTGTAAAAAACGTAACAAAATTATAATACTCACAGAGCGCGAACAATATCCAAATAGAGATGCCCAAAATTCAATGCTAAATGATAGAATCAAGACTTCTTCACAAAATCAGAACATAAAAAAGACACAGGCATCTCAATAACAGGTGAAATCAATCAGACGAGAATCGAGATCAAAGTGCATAATCATAAACACGAGTATATGATGAGATCCTTAAGTAAGGTCATAATGCATCATGATTTATTTGTCATTCACACTCACACCCATACCCTTCCTAATTAGAGACATTTGTCTAGTTCTGTCCATACAATTACTGGTTTTGAAGAATATATACATATATATTTATTTCATCGTGATCTTATCAGTCAAGAATATCAAAATTCGTTTTTTTTTATAATATTCTTTAAAACATTATAAATGTTACTTTTCTTCTACATGAACTGTGTTTGCGTCTAGTAATGATTGTTCAACATAATTTCCATTATGTACATCAGGTTCAAGTTGTTGTTCAATTTCTTCATATGTTTCAGCATCATCATCTGTCATTTTATTTGAATCCTAATTAAAAATGAAAACAAAAGAAAAAAAAAACAGGAATCAAACAATTTTGCCTTAGCATTAACTATTTACTTCAAGTTTTTTCATCAATACAGCAACAACAACATTGAGAAGTACAAATTGAGCCACAAGAACAAAAACAATAAAATAAATAGGTGAAATTATTGTCATAAAATAATTTTTTCCAGCATTAATTGAATCATCTTGACGTAAAGTATCCTTTAAAACAATATTTATGATTAAAAAAAAAAAAAAAAGAACTAATCATTTTTTTCAATCATTTACTTTCATAATACTATTCCAATTATCACCTGTTGCAATACGAAATAATGTAAGAAGAGCTATACCAAAATTTTTAAAATGTGCATGTTTATCAAGACCACTACATGGTTTTTCTTCACTACATTCTAATTTTCCAAATAATTCAACACCAAGTGTAGCAAAGATAAAGAAAAGAAGAAAGAATAAAAGACCCTAATTTTAAAGAATAAAACAAAAAAAAAATTCTTAAATAAAAACAAAAATTCGATTTACCAAATTTCCAACTTGTGGAAGAGCTTCAATAACAGTATCTAATAGAGCTCGAACACCTTTAGCAACTTTCAATAGTTTAAGTACTAAAATAGAAAAGAAAAAAAAATGTTTTATTCACTTTACTTTATTCATTTACCTCGTGCAATTCTCAATACTCTGATTCCACGAATAATTGTAGGATTTATTGGAAGAATATGTTCACTTGAAATTTGTTCCATTACAATACTAACTATTGATAAAAGTACAATAAATGAATCCAATTGATTCCATCTTAAAATCAAAATTAAATTTAAAAAAAAATAAATCTCAAATTATTTTATTTTTCTATCTTACTTATCTTTAAAATAATGTGATGGTCCAAGTGCAATAATTTTTAATATAAATTCAATTAAGAATACAAACGTAAATACATAATTACAATATTCAAGAAATTTATCTAAGTTCTAAAAACAAAAACAAAAAAAAATTTTTATTTTCACACTATATAATGTGAATATTATATTTATTTTTTTCTTACAGATGGCATAGAATAATATTCAAGTGACATTGTAATAACATTAAAACCAATAATAACAGCAATAATTAAATCAAAATATTTATTAATACATAAATCATGTAAATATTTACGCCATGGTGAAAAATGTGTATAATATGGTAATTTACACATAAGATGTTTTTTACGTTCAAGTTTTTTTCTATATTTTAATTTATTTTGAGCTTCATTTTCAAGTTCTTGTTGAGCTCGACATTTATGAAAATTTTCAACAACAACACCAACGAACATATTCAAAACAAAAAAACTAACAATTAAAATAAATGATATAAAATA